TCACTCAAATGTACATCCTTCCCTTAGTAAGTACAATCCCATCCATTTAAAAAACATTAGCCCGGTGCTGGTGGCTCATGCCTGTAATCCTAGCTACTCAAGAAAGGCTGAGGTCTAAGGAATTCTGATTTAAAGTCAGCCAAATCTAAGGCTCTTATCTCCAAATAACCTGCTGGTTATTTAGAAGTAAAGCCGTAGCTCAATTGGTAGAGCTCCAGCCTTCAGCAAGAAAAGCAAGCAAGAACTTGAAGCCCTGAGTTCTTCAAGTCTAGCAGTAAAACAAATGCATTGTAGTATTAGTACCTTTCTTGCCTTTTTAAAACTGCACGTTTTCTCTATTCTCTTCCTTTTATTTTCTCTTGACTAACTTTTAAGTAAAACTTGAATTGTTAAAGTTAAATTCTCTTTCTTTTTTCCTTTCTCTCACTTTCTCTTTTTCTTTCCTTCCTTTCCTTCCTTTCCTTCCTTTCCTTCCTTCCTTCCTTCCTTCCTTCCTTCCTTCCTTCCTTCCTTCCTTCCCTCCCTTCCTCCCTCTCTCCCTCTCTCTCTCTCTCTCTCTCTTTCTCTCTTTCTCTCTTTCTTTCTTTCCATCCTGGGGCTTGATCTCAGGGCCTGAGTACTGTCTCTAAGCCTTTTTGCTCATGGCTAGCACTATACCATGTGAACCAAAGCTCCACTTCCAGCTTTTCTGGGCAATTAATTGGAGTCTCCTTCAAGTCTGGAAGATCCTCAGATCTCAACCTTCTGAGTAGCTAGGATTATAGGTGTGAGCGACTGATACCCGCTTTAAGTTAAATTCTAAACAAGCCATCAGGATCACTTCAGTTATTTATGATTTTGAGACCTTTTTAAAAAAATAGACAACAAAATGGTTAACACCTAATTTTAAACAAAACACAGTGAAACCTAAAAATAGATATAATTTAAAAGACTAAGAAGCAAAACAACTTCCTTTTATTTTTCTTTCTTTTGTTTTTTTCAGTCATTGGGCCTGAACTCTGCGCCTGGGCACTGTCCTTCAAATCTTCAGCTCAAGGCTAGCACTCTACCACTTGAGCCACAGCACCATTTCCAGCTTTTTCTGTTTATGTGGTGTTGAGGAATCGAACCCAGAGCCTCATGCATGCGAGGCAAGCATTCTACCACTGAGCCAACTTCCCAGCCCCAGCAATTTTCTTTTGAATCTAGACTAGCAATGAAAGAATGTTCTGTGGATGTTCAGAAAGCTTTCTCTTCTATGAGACCATTAATTTTGTGATGTGTGATTATAATAAAGCCATCACTGTCATCCATATTACCGTTTTTCTTTTGGACAAAGAATAGAAATCAGTTTATAGCTCCTTAAGAACAACAAAACCAACAACCAAAAATATGAACAAATTAGAATAAAAAGCGGACTTTCTTGTCACGTGACCTCGGGCAACATTTATTTTCTCCTTGTTTCTTTATCAGATAATGATAAGATTTATATACTTTATCTTTTTTTTTTTTTTTGGCTTGAACTCTGGCTCTGGACACTGTCACTGAGATCCTTTTGCTCAAAGCTAGCACTCCACCACTTGAGCCACAACTCTACTTCCAGATTTTTCTGTGATTAATGGGAAATAAGAACCTCTTGGAGGGCTGGGAAGGTAGCTCAGTGGTAGAGTGTTTGCCTTGCACGCATGAGGCCCTGGGTTCGATTCCTCAGCACCACATAAGCAGAAAAAGCCAGAAGTGGCACTACGTATAAAGTGGTAGAGTGCTAGCCTTGAGCTGAAGAGCTGAGGGACAGCGTCCGGGCCTAGAGTTCAGGCCCCATGACCGACAAAAAAGAAAAAAGAAAAAAAAAGAACCTCATGGCTTTCCTGAATAAGACTTATAAACCAAAATCTACTTGTGTGTCTGTTGTGAAGGACAATTACTTATTTAACTCTGTGCCTTATTATTATTATTATTGTTGATCCTTGAGCATGTAAGTTAAACTTAAGTTCTCGGTTTAAAAATAAAGCTGTATTACGGTATTTTCACCATAAAAAATTAAAAAAAATAAAGATGCATGAAAAATCACATACTTAAGAAACATCAATTAACCGTAACCCCGCTGTACCTCACCTTTATAATAATAGTAATTTTAAAAGAGAAACATAGTGCTGGTGTGGTGATGCATCCCTGTAATTCCAGCACTCAGGAGGCAGAAACAGGACCAAAGTTGAGTTTGAAGACAGTTTGAGCCACGGAACAAAATTTTGTTTCAAAAAATGAAATCAAGCCGGGTGACGGTGGCTCACGCCTGTAATCCTAGCTACTCAGGAGGCTGAAATCTGAGGATCTCCATTCAAAGCCAGCCTGGGCAGGAAAGTCTGTGAGACTCTTTTTTTTTTTTTTGTCGGTTGTGGGGCTTGAACTCTGGGCCTGGGCGCTGTCCCTCAGCTCTTCAGCTCAAGGCGAGCGCTCTACCACTTGAGCTACAGCACCGCTTCCTCTGTGAGACTCTTATCTCTCCAATAAATGATGGAAAAACCTGAAATGGCCCTGTGGCTCAAGTGGTAGGGCACTAGCCTTGAGCTGAAGAGCTGAGGGACAGCGCTCAGGCCCAGAGTTCAAGCCCCATGGCCGACAAAAAAAAAAAAAATTCACTCAATAATTTATTAGTGTTGATTATATTTAATTAGAAACCCAAGACAGTAAGTATCTCCATGTGAAGGTTCAGTGGATTGCTCAGTCAACATGGGATTCAGAGTATGTCTGAGGGAAGTTTTATTAGAAGACAGAATACAGTCCACTTTAGTGCCAGCAGGGGCTGGGATATAGCTGAGTGGAAAAGCACTCAACTAGCAAGTACAACATCCTAGGTTCAATCCCCAGTACAAAAAACAGATGAGACCAAAAAACGCCCAAAATGTCCGTCAAAACCTGCCATCCCCAACAGGGCTGGCTTTAGTGTAAAAGTCATTTGAAGGGTCCTAAGCTGACTCTGGTGACAATCAGACGGGGGGACTTCTGTCCACGCCTGGCCAGCGCTCACAGCTGGCTTTTCAGCAGCTCCCTCAGTCGTCGCACTCGGGGCTGGCTTTGTAGTCCTGTCTATCACACAAGTGCTGTGTTGCTCTCCTTGTGCTCCCTACATCTTGATATGGGGCCACGCTCTGGCCTGGCATGAGGGTAAAAGAAAGCCTTCCAAGCATCCATGGCTCATGCCTGTGATCCTAGCTACTCAGCAGGCCGAGATCTGAGCATCCTGGTTTAAAGTCAGTCCAAGCAGGAAAGTCCATGAGAATCTTTGTCTGCAATTAACCAGCAAAAAGCCACACGTGTGGCTCAAGTGGTAGAGTATTAGCCTTGTGTGAAAAAGCTAAAAGCACCAAAGCTCAAAGTTGAAGCCCTAGTGCCTACCTACTACTACTACTACTACACACACACACACACACACTCACACTCACACACACACACACACACTCACACTCACACACACACACACACTCACACTCACACACACACACACACACACACACTCACACACACACTCACACTGAGTCAGTCCTCTGTCTTCCTGCTCTTTCCTGGAACTTCATAACAGTCTCTCTCAAACTTTTCCTCGCTCTGAGCATTTGATTTGTGCAGCTCACCCTTACAAGGTTTCACCTTGATGAGGAACAAAAATTGCACACAGCCTGCCCTGGAGTGAGGCGCTGATTAAGCCCCAGAAGACACATGCTCCTTTCTGCCCACATCATCTCAAAGGAGAATCTATTAGAACACCCAAGCCCCAGCTCAACAGCCTTCACGCTCCTTTGTAAGCACACCCTCTTAACTACAAACTAGAAAAACTCACAAGCCTGAACACATAGGCATACAGGCAATGACAGGATACGTAGCCATATCTCCATGTATGTTTCCTCGATTTTACTACATATAGGCTGTGTTGTATTCTGTGCCACTTTGTTCTACTTCATTTGTTTGTACATTCATCTCCTAATGCTGATCAAGACCCACTAGAAAGAGCTGCACGGCCTCCTAATGTAGTTCTATAGCTGCAGTCTGTTTTTCTTTCTTTCTTTTTTTTTTGGGTCCGGTCGTGGGGCCTGAACTCTGGGCCTGGGCGCTGTCCCTCAGCTCTTCAGCTCAAGGCTAGCGCTCTACCACTTGAGCCACAGCGCCACTTCCGGCTTTTTTCTTTTCGTTTATATGGTGCTGAGGAATCAAACCCAGGGCCTCATGCATGCAAGGCAAGCGCTCTACCACTGAGCCACCTTCCCAGCCCTTAGCTGCAGTCTGAACAGTGTGGTTGTGAATTATGGGGCCTGATTCCCCTCTCCTGTTCATGCTAGATTGTGAGCTCACTGAATTGTGTCCCCCGCTCCTTTCAATACATAGACTTAGTGCCTGGCATGCCTCAGATACTCAGGTAAATAGCAATGGAACCAAAGCACATAGCCTGGTGGGTCTTTGAGTCCCTGTGTGTTAAACGGAAACATATCAATGCATACCTCTGGGGTGAATGTGAGGACCGAGTGAGATGGTGGCTTTGAGCAAGGAGTGCAGGGCCCAGCACCCACAGGTGCCCAGGCAGTGCCTGTCACATGGCTTTCCATGTCCACCTGCTTCTTTCATTGACGGTTGGACCCACACTCCAGTTGCTCTAAGTGCATGGAGAGGTGTGAACTCCAGGAGTCCTTCCTGCAGCCCTGCATAGATCAGACTCTGGCTGAAAATAGGGGAACCTCCTGGGAGATCACCTTTTATGTCACCTCCGAGGGGGTCCCATTTCCTCCCGGAACGTGGAGACTCCAGCTTATTGGAATTTCAAGACAACCATGAAGATCATTTCCCTAGTAAGAGAGATTATACAATACTTTTCAAAAGCAACATATAAGTCCTTTTTTTTTCTTTCAGAAGTTTCCGTAAGAGCTATTATTTCAGCTGTCCATTATTGGTGGGAATGTAAATTAATATAGACACTATGGATATCAGTATGGAGGTTCCTCAGTTTAACCAGTCTGTTTGTTGTTTGCTTCTAGGACAGAATGACTTCGAAGATCAGGGGAGCTTCTAAGCGTCTGGGGAAATGGGAAGCCTCTCATCTTTAGTGGTCTGTTTGAAGTTGAAGGTCAGTAGAGGAATTTCTTTGCTTTTACCCCTCAAGCTGTCCTGCCGGTGAAGGCTGGGAAACCGCACCTGCCCCCGTCCTGTCCCCTGGGGCAAAAGTCCAGGTTTCCACAGATACCTAGGAGGAGGGAGATGCTCAGGGCTGGGAAGGTTCTGAGCTTGGTTTTTGGTTCACCCTCACACTTGGTGCAGCTTCCTCACTTGCTCTTTCCTGGATGGGCTCCCACAGAGGTTCTGAAAGAACTGATCATTAGATGACAAATGGTTCAACCTGAATGGCGAGGCTCTGGTTGAAAAAAGGAGTGGTTCTCTCCACTGGACAGTGTGGGGAGCTGGGTGGGGGGCGAGGATCTCAGCACTGAGGCAGAGCAGAAAAGAAGCTGGCTATGGACAGCATGTTGGTTGCCACCTTGAGTGTGCTGCGTTCCACTTTTTATTCTGTTTTCTTTTGTGCCAGTATTGGGGCTTGAACTCAGGGCCTGGGCACTGTTCCTTAGCTTTTTCACTCAAGGCTGGCGCCCTGCCACTTCAGCCACAGCTCTGCTTCCAGCTTTTTTAAATAATTAATTGGAGATAAGAGTCACACGGACTTTCCTGTCTGGGCTGGCTTCAAACCTCTATCCTCTGTCTTGGCCTCCTGAGAAGCTAGGATTACAGGTGTGAGCTACTGGTGCCCAGCTGTATTCCATTTCTTAGCGGTCCCCTTGCCACCTCTCATTTCAAATGAGATGTGAATGAAATGCCTGGGAGGGTCTCAGCATCCTAAGGTGGCACGCAAGGCCCCTGAGGCTTGAGCCCTAGAGCCTCCCTTGGCATGAACACTTGGTGCCCTTTCTTACTGTCCCTTGGACCATCATCTGGGTTTGGCCTTGCTGTTCTTTCTGTCTGGCATGACCCACTGCCCCTCCTCTTCATCTAGCCCTGGTGATCAGGTCAGTCTTCTTGGATCCCACTGTGCTGGCTGGCATGGTCGTGCGCACACCTTGTCCCTCTGCTCCCCAGCGTGGCCTAATGAGAGTTTTGCCTTCTCCCTTTCCTGATGCACCAGATACCTTGCTAGTCCTGGAAGCACTAGTGGCCAGGGGCACAACTGCTGCAGCCTTACTAGGTGAATTCAAATCCTGGTTCTGAAGTTTTACTTATTTGTTGGTTTGTCAGTTGTGAGGCTTGAACTCAGGCCCTGGGCACTGTCCCTGAGCTTTTTTTGCTCAAGGCTAGAGTGCTGCCACTTTAAGCCATAGCTCCACTTCTGGTTTTCAGGTAATTAATTGGAGAAAAGAGTGTCACTGACTTTCCTGCCCAGGCTGGCTTTGAACCTGGTTCAGGCTCCAACTCCACAGATTCCTCTCCTTGTCTGTACCATCTACACAGTGCAGTGTTCCAGAAACAGGACAGCACCAGAGTATGGTAAAACCCATTATCTGTGTAATATATTAGCTATGTATAATTAACTATTAACTGCTAGTGCTTATCACAACAAAGATCATGTTGTGTGAAAGTGCACGTTTGGTTTTTTTTTTTTCCCCTTGAATATGAGTCACACAAATCACACCTCTAATTTTTACCTTGTGGATATCTTCTGGAAATTTTTCTGCTTGAGGAAGTTGGATGCAAGTATAACAATTCGTGCCATTGTAAGGATCTCTGTAAATATTCTTCTCTATGCTTTAGGATTGCCAGGTCAGGGAGCCATGGTTACTGCTTTGATTCTAGATGCTTCTAAGCTCAAGAGCCTTCCAAAGCATGGCTCAAAGTCCCTTTATGGCTCCCCCTTCCTGTAGCTGTGCAGAATCCATGCTACATGGAGACACAGGCAGCAGAGAATCTGGCTCTGCCCAGAGTTGAATGAGGTGCTGAGTGTGTGCCTCTAACTGGGTCTGGTCTGTCTGTGTGCCTGCCTGTCTGTTCTTTGATGTCCTCGGCTGAAGGTTCAGGGGGCTTCGTCATGGCAGCCGGAAGTTGTTTTCCATTCCCATGCTGTTGACATATCCCTTCCATGTGGCCCCTGTGCGCACCTGCCCTGGGGCCCTGCAAGCCAGCTGCTCTCCACACAGCGGGAGACACACGTGACTCAGCCTAGGAAGCCTATCTTCTTCACATACCTGCTACTGCCCTGTCCACCTCTTCCTCCAGGTCTCCCAGAGGCTTTGACCATACACGAACCACCCTTGCAGAAGTCTGGGCTTGGCAGTGTGCAAAGTGCTGGCTCCTATGTCAGCACTTAGGGCTTTGGGAAATGCTCGGGTCTAAAGCTCACTGGCTTCCTCCTTCTGCTCCTTCTCAGAGCTGCCAATGGCCTTTTCCCAATGCCTGCAGCCATTGCTCTCCACCTTCTAGTCTCTCCTTCCCTCTCTTCTATAGCCTGGCTCTGCTCTCACCAGGTCAGGAGTGTGGTGAAGGGTTAGAAGGCTTGTCTAGCTTGGAGAGGCCCTGGCTCCCAATACCAGCACCGCGAAACAAAACAAAACAAAAACCAAGACAAACATCCTCCACCCCCAAGACAAACATCCTCCACCCAACGCAGCCCTGCGGAGTCCCCCGGGCCTCGCACTCTGTTCCCTTCCTTCCAGGGTTGTCACTGTCCACAGTGGTGACTTAGTGCTCTGAGGCTTTAGCCCTGACTCTGCTTTTGCATTGTGATCACTAGCTAGATAGTTCTGCTTTGGGGAGCCATTCAGAATCTGTGTTTTTCCCATCATCCTCTGCTTGAAAATGGTCAGTGACCTGTTCTGCTTCTGAGGGATCGATTCCAGAATCTTTTACCCTGTTTCCAAAACCCCATGTGACCTGATCCCAACCTACCTCTCTGTGACCATATTTCCCCTCACCCTGGCCAGATGTGGTCTGATCTCATCTGGGCACTCGCTGGGGTCCTAGGGGTCTCAAAGGACAAAGAAGGTCATCTGCTCCTGCGAGCCCTGGGCAGTGAGGTGGAGGCTGGAGGCAGAGTGACCCTGATGTGAACTCTAGGAATCCAGAGATGAAGGAAGTGATGTACAGCCCAGGAGGGAGCCCTGAGCTCTGAGGCGTTGCAGCCTGGCGAATGACTCGTCAGCTTGGATGTGGTAGTGTTTCCGAGCCATGTTAGTAGCCAGAGTGTCAGTGAATTCTTGGGAGATCATATTAACTATGCAAAACAAATTTTGATTGCTTTGTTTTGCTCAGAATGGACTTGTTTTGAGGTAAATTGAAAGAATGCCTCCTCCTCACTAATTTGGATACTGACAATGTGTCTAAACTATTTGATGTGTACTCTCATTCTGGGCCTAAATTTCTATTCTTGTTTTTTTTTTTTGGGGGGGGGAGGTCCAGTCGTGGGGCCTGAACTCTGGGCCTGGGCGCTGTCCCTCGGTTCTTCAGTTCAAGGCTAGCGCTCTACCACTTGAGCCACAGCACCACTTCTGGCTTTTTTTTCCTGCTTACGTGGTGCTGAGGAATTGAACCCAGGGCCTCATGCACACAAGGCAAGCACTCTACCACTGAGCCACCTTCCCAGCCCTCTTTCTTTTTTTTTTTTTTTTAATGCTAGCACTGGGGGTTGAAGTCAGTGTCTCAGCACTGTTTCTTAGCTTTTTTACTCAAGTCTAGTGCTTTACCACCTGAACCACAGCACCATTCCAGCTTTAACAAGCAAATTAATTGGAGATAAGTCTCTCAGATTTGTCTGCCTGGGCTAGCTCTGAACAATGCTCAGATCCTAGCCACCTGAGTAGCTAGGATGACAGGCATGATCCACCAGTACCCGGCCTAAGTTTCTATGCTTAATCGAGTTCTTTTCAAATTTCTTACATTGAGTGCTGTCATCTCAGCACTCAGGAAAGTAAATATCCTACTGACTTTTCTTATGCACATAGAAGTTCTTCTGGTCACTATGTAAGAACTGGCTTCGGGCAAGGTCAGGCTCACAGTCCGTTTAACACTCCTGTGCAGGGTTCTGGTTTCAAGTGCATCCTCAGTGCTTCCTGTGTTGCTTTCCACGGACAAACTCGCAGTAAAAATTCTCACATCAATATAGGCACTGGTGCCTCATGCCTATAATCTAGGTGACTCTGGAAGCTGAGATCTGAGGACAGCAGTCCAAAGCCAGCCCGGACAGACAAATCCATCCCAGGCAATCAACACTAAGAGATTCTTATCTCCATTTACCCAGCACATAGGCCACAACTAGAGGTGTGGTTCAAGCGGTAGGGCTCCATCCTTTAACAAACAAACAAAAAAAAACAAATAAGAATACAATGCCCAGAGTTTAAGCCTCAGAATTGGCATTAAAAAAAAAATTCTCACACCAAGAGAAGTGCATTTCTAAAGGATTTCACAGTTGATTGGTCCTCATGAGATTTTGTTGTGTTTGGATAAGGAAAAAAAAAGTCTTGCCGGATGCCAGTTGCTCACACCTGTGATCCTAGCTACACACGTGGCTGAAGTCTCAAAATTGTGCTTTAAAGCCAGCCCAGGCAGCATACTCCATGAGAGTGTTCTGTCCAATTAGCCACCAAAAAGCTGGAAGTGAGCTATGGCTCAAGTGGTAGAGCATTAACCTTCAGTGAAATAGCATCATGGCCTGTATTCAAGATTCAGGCACACATACACAAAGTTGTTGTTGTTATTGTTGTTGTTGTTTTTACAGAGAACAAAGAAAGGTTTATTGGGGTGGGTGTGGGGGAAGGGGGCCAGCAAGACCCCTTCTTGCAAGGGAGAAGGGAGGAGAAGCTGCTGTTGTTGTTTTATGGACTCCAAACTTCCATTTCAGAGGGCTCCTCCTATTATTTACCTCCACATTGTCTCAGCAGCTGCCCCAGGATTCAAGATAAACCATTTTCCCATGCCTGCTGGGAGATTACAGCTCAAACATTTGTTGTTTTATTGCCACCTTATTAAAGACCCACCTTGCTTATTTGCAGTGTAAAATGCTACAGAGTAAATATGCAGGCATATATTTGCAAGTGTGCCAAATTCATGTGGCAAATGTACATGTATGCGCGCGCGCACACACACACACAC